CATTAAAAAATGTAAATACTCACACACTGACTTAAAGTAGCCTGAATAATTTCATAAAAATTATCACAAAATTGTCAAAACTTGTTAAAACCTGTTATTATTCTAAACTAAAACTAGTAAAAAAAAAAAAAAAGGTAATTAAAATAAAGCATAAGTAACATAAATATAAATAATAAATATTAAATGAAGACTGTTAATTTACTGAAATAGACAAGTTTAAGTTAAAGTAGTAAAATGACTAAAACTGAAAAATCAATTCAAGCTAAAAATAAAAATATAAAAAAGCATAAAAAATATTCATAGTGTAATTGCTACAAATAAAAATGATAAATAGACTTGTTTTTTTTTTTTGAGGAAAGCATTGTTGATGCTAAGGTGTTATGAGAGGTATTAATAGTGTTAAATAGGCCCTTAAAGAGAAACTTTAGCTTTTTTGACAGCTAACACACAATATAAAGTGAAAGACCTGTGACGCATCAGCATTTTTCTACATGTGTATATAGTTGCAGAATAAGAAGAAAGCTTGTTTGTGTGTAAGGAGCAGCTGTGAGGCGTGTGATCAGATATACAGAGGTGTGTTGTGCTGTGTACCTGTCCAAAGGTGGAATACAGGAACACAGGTATCTCAGCCACGGTCATGGCTAAGGCCTGCATGATGGACACGCCCTCAGCACTTCTGATTGACATCTCAGCTCCGCCCCTTCCTCCTGCAGATGCTTTCACATCCGAGTCGCTCCAGACAGATCCTGGAACAGCTGGAGTTCAGTTCTGTCCTAGCTCCTCATTATTGTTGCCTTGGAGACAATGAAAACACGGTTCATATTGTTCTAGTGCTTTAGATTAGACGCTTATATAAACACCATATGCAAAACAGGAGTCAATATTGTCAATTTAGAGAAGACACCTCATATTCTGGCATTTACATACAACAATAAAAACTTAAATTGACCTATAAATAGCTGATAATTTTTTGATTTTAAAGTTTGATTACATTTGATAATCAACATCATATATATCAGATCTGATCAAAGCTTATATGTGACCCTGGACCACAAAACCAGTCTTAAGTGTCAATTTTTCAAAATTGAGATTTATACATCAAGAATAAATAAGCTTTCCATTGATGTATGGTTTGTTAGGATCGGACAATATTTGGCCAAGATACAACTATTTGAAAATCTGGAATCTGAGGGAGCAAAAAAATCTAAATATTGAGAAAATCGCCTTTAAAGTTGTCCAAATGAAGTTCTTAGCAATGCATATTACTAATCAAAAATTAAGTTTTGATACATTTACGGTAGGAAATTTACAAAATATCTTCATGGAACATGATCTTTACTTAATATCCTAATGGTTTTTGGCATAAAAGAAAAATCTATAATTTTGACCCATACAATGTATTTTTGGATATTGCTACAAATATACCCGTGCTACTTATGACTGCTTTTGTGCTCCAGGGTCACATATATAGATAGATAGATAGATAGATAAACAGACAGACATATATACACATACACACAGACAAACATAAAAGGAAGGCAAAAAAATTATATTTTGGATGATGAAATGTCTATTTCAGTAATAAGTGTTTTTGAATTATATATATTAAAAAATAATAATATTAAGCTCACTTCCCCTCATAATTCTCATTACTGTAATGTAAAATCACTCCCATTACTATAAAATTAAAACATAATTATTAATAATTATATATACTATAAATAACTACACAAATATTTTTGTATTAAATGTATTAAAGTATTATATTTAATTTGAATTACAAGGAAAAAAGAAACATATATATATATATATATATATATATATATATATAGACACACACAATTTATTTACACACACACACTTTTTTAAAGATATTTAACATCTGAGGTTTGTGCTATAAAAGTGATGATCAAAAGTAATCAGATCTCAGGTAATCAAACTTCAACATAGAGTAAAACAAACACAGAAACATCTGCAGAAATATCTGTACAGCTAGTCAAACTGTAAGATCACACACCCCTTCATCTGTCATGTTACAATCTGACAGCCAGTTCAAGACAGAATTATGAATCATAACCATCAGCTGCTACAGAGGAAAGTGTTTCTTGAGGAATCAGTTTCTTGATTCCTGCAACTAACATACATCATAAACGAATATCAGAAGTCACTGGCAGCTACAAAATCACACAGATTGTGAATGAGCAGAATCTGTTTATTTTAAAGTAATTCATACCATTATTATCTGCTGATTTTGTTATTCTTATTGAATTTATACTCATTCAATAAACTGCCCCTCTATGTGTCCATGTCCTTAGACACCAGCAGCACATTAGCTTAGCTCAACACACACAAACACCAGGCTCTTTTAAGACAGTTTCCAGTCATATATACATTTATATATGCATAAAGCCGGAGCTAATTCAGACACATCATAGCAGCTTTAAAAGCAATATTAAAAGTGAAAGAGTGAAAAGCAGCCCACACTCACTTTCTCTGGTTTGGAAGGACATTTTCAATTTCATTCCGCATTGCACACCTGTGATTTCCTGGTGGGCGGGGCAGAGTTTTGAGCTACAGCGGAATAAACCTATAACAGCTTTAGATGGTTCAGCGGTAACCAATCAGAGAAGAGGAAGGAAAGACGCAACACGTTGGTTATCCAATGACATCAACAGTCGCGACGCGACTCTTGGCCCTCCATAAACTGACATCTGACTGCACCGAGTACATAATAATAATAATAATAATAATAATAATAATAATAATACATTTTTGAAAATATAAATAATATTACGATTACGTGCAATATACATTGACAAAGTGGTCCACAGTCGTCAAAATTAAAGTTAATTTTCCAGTAGTAACTATACTTGTAGTAATATAGTATTTTAACAGTTATTTTATTTTTATTTATTTATTTAGTCATTTAGCAGACGCTTTTATCCAAAGCGACTTACAAATGAGGACAATAAAAGCAGTCAAAACTAACAAAAGAATTTTTGGATATTGCTACAAATATACCCGTGCTACTTATGACTGCTTTTGTGCTCCAGGGTCACATATATAGATAGATAGATAGATAGATAAACAGACAGACATATATACACATACACACAGACAAACATAAAAGGAAGGCAAAAAAATTATATTTTGGATGATGAAATGTCTATTTCAGTAATAAGTGTTTTTGAATTATATATATTAAAAAATAATAATATTAAGCTCACTTCCCCTCATAATTCTCATTACTGTAATGTAAAATCACTCCCATTACTATAAAATTAAAACATAATTATTAATAATTATATATACTATAAATAACTACACAAATATTTTTGTATTAAATGTATTAAAGTATTATATTTAATTTGAATTACAAGGAAAAAAGAAACATATATATATATATATATATATATATATATATATAGACACACACAATTTATTTACACACACACACTTTTTTAAAGATATTTAACATCTGAGGTTTGTGCTATAAAAGTGATGATCAAAAGTAATCAGATCTCAGGTAATCAAACTTCAACATAGAGTAAAACAAACACAGAAACATCTGCAGAAATATCTGTACAGCTAGTCAAACTGTAAGATCACACACCCCTTCATCTGTCATGTTACAATCTGACAGCCAGTTCAAGACAGAATTATGAATCATAACCATCAGCTGCTACAGAGGAAAGTGTTTCTTGAGGAATCAGTTTCTTGATTCCTGCAACTAACATACATCATAAACGAATATCAGAAGTCACTGGCAGCTACAAAATCACACAGATTGTGAATGAGCAGAATCTGTTTATTTTAAAGTAATTCATACCATTATTATCTGCTGATTTTGTTATTCTTATTGAATTTATACTCATTCAATAAACTGCCCCTCTATGTGTCCATGTCCTTAGACACCAGCAGCACATTAGCTTAGCTCAACACACACAAACACCAGGCTCTTTTAAGACAGTTTCCAGTCATATATACATTTATATATGCATAAAGCCGGAGCTAATTCAGACACATCATAGCAGCTTTAAAAGCAATATTAAAAGTGAAAGAGTGAAAAGCAGCCCACACTCACTTTCTCTGGTTTGGAAGGACATTTTCAATTTCATTCCGCATTGCACACCTGTGATTTCCTGGTGGGCGGGGCAGAGTTTTGAGCTACAGCGGAATAAACCTATAACAGCTTTAGATGGTTCAGCGGTAACCAATCAGAGAAGAGGAAGGAAAGACGCAACACGTTGGTTATCCAATGACATCAACAGTCGCGACGCGACTCTTGGCCCTCCATAAACTGACATCTGACTGCACCGAGTACATAATAATAATAATAATAATAATAATAATAATAATAATACATTTTTGAAAATATAAATAATATTACGATTACGTGCAATATACATTGACAAAGTGGTCCACAGTCGTCAAAATTAAAGTTAATTTTCCAGTAGTAACTATACTTGTAGTAATATAGTATTTTAACAGTTATTTTATTTTTATTTATTTATTTAGTCATTTAGCAGACGCTTTTATCCAAAGCGACTTACAAATGAGGACAATAAAAGCAGTCAAAACTAACACGTCGAAAAGTGACATGTGTAGGGGTATGTGTTGTGTCAGGAACCATGTTGAGGTTAAGAGTGAGAAGGAAGTGATAATTATCATGATAGAATATAAATATGACGACGGTAAAGTATGATAATGATTTATTTTGTTTTGTTTTATTATTATAAAATCTGTGATATTTTAGTTAGGCCCTGAGGCCTCATTTACATTTGTTAATATCTCGTTTAAATAATTAAATACATGTTTTACCTTACTTTTTTCTACGTAGTCCAAAATGTATTCTCATATTTTCCAAGTAATATACAATTTAAATTATTATTATTATTTATATTATTATTGTTATTGTTATTGTTATTGTTATTGTTATTGTTATTATTATTATTATTATTCCTCTAGCGTCACACTGAGAGGCGGAACTAAAGTCACAGCAGGGTTTTCCTGTCGGAACGTAAATATCAGCGTGTCAAGGAAAATGTAAGAAAGCTAATCTTACAGCTAATTATGTTGTTATCTATTGTTTTCGTGCTCTCCATATACTAATATGCGATTACAGTTAAGGCACATATAATCATTATGTAGTGGTTTGTAAATTGATGTCATGATGTGTTTATTGTCGTTCCGCTGCGATAAAAGTTTGTCAATATGTCAGCAGGTTTTTTTTTACTGTAGTCAAAAGTATATTAAAAGTTAAAAGTATACACACACACACACACAGCATTCACTGAACACACATTGTATGTATGTATGTACAGTATATATATATATATATATATATATATATATACACACACACACACAAACACATTGTATACATTCACATGTGTGTTCATTGAGTGCTTGTTGGAGAAAGTAACTTGAGTTTTCATATTTTCTCAGGAAAATGAGGGTTTCCTCCCCAGCTGAGCGCCTGGGTTGGAGCTTCAGCCTCAATAGGACATGAAATCCCTGGTATTGCTTTCATATTTTATAGTATGACTAGAAATGTGTCAAAAACTGTTGACTCTGAATGAACCTCTCTGACGTTCTTCATCCCTCAGAGGTTTCACTGGATCTGCCTCTTCCTCCTCTCTGTTTGTCTGTTGCTATGGTACAATCATGTGATGAGGTCTGGACTTGCCATGAAAACAGGCCTGCATGGTTATGTGAGGGTTCATCCCAACACTCGCTCAGCTTCATATGTAAGTTGCATTCCACACTTGACCCTTTGTACAAGTTTTAAAGGAACAGTTCATCCAGAAATGAAAGTGAAAGATGAAATGAAAGATGAGTTTGTTTCTTCATCAGATTTGGAGAAATGTAGTATTCCATCACTTGCTCACCAATGGATGCTCTGCAGTGAATTGGTGCCGTCAGAATGAGAGTCCAAACAGCTGATAAAAACATCACAATGATCCACAAGTAATCCACACCACTCCAGTCCAGCAGTTAATGTCTTGTGAAGCCATGTTTGCTTGATCTGTGCATATTTCTCACCTAATTCAGACACCTAATTCAGACTTTTTCAATGGAGAAAGTAATATTATTGATAGAGGACTCGTATTTTAGGTGGAAGCAACGGTGTGAAGTTAAAACATCTTAATGATGGAGTAGTTTCTTACAAACATGCAGCTTTTTGCTTTTGTTTGGACTCTCATTCTGACGGCACCCATTCACTGCAGAGGATCCATTACTGAGCAAGTGATGCAATGCAAAATTTCTCCAAATCTTATCTACTTATCTACATATTGGATGGCCTGAAGGGGAGTACATTTTCAGTAGATTTAAATTTTTGGGTGAACTATTTCTTTAAAATGTACTCATACTTTAGCATACATCATAGATGCAAACTAGATCAAAATAGGTCACCTATGAGATTTGATTAGATCCAATGAGAAAGTGTTTTTATGAGGGGGGGGTCTTGCAAGGGTACTTGTGATCTTACAAGGGTAAATAAAGAAGTGTTGTTTCAATAAGTTTTACATAGTATTTTCTTTACTCTTTACTTCAAAAACTATGTCTAAAAAGGGTAATATTATTCAGCTTTGAGATGGTGTATAAATCTCAATTTAAAAAAATTGACCCTTATGACTGCTTTTGTGGTCCAGGGTCATATTTTAGGTTAGCATTGCCGTCTAATCAGCCAATATTGTCTTAAATAGCCTGCATAGCTATTCATCTTCACTTCATCTTTTATAACATGGGATTTTGACCAAATATATTCAATCTTGATTTTTGTATAATGTTGCAACAAAATGTTTTTTTGTGTGTGTGAAAACTACAGTTTTGGACATATAAGGTAATAAAAAATATTTAAAAAAATACCTTAAGGTAGCTACAAATGAGCATGTAAAGCAAATATCTTTGAAAGAAATTCAGTGTGGAGCATGCCTCCGATCCGTGCAATGTTCTCACCTTTTTCCCCCTTACCTGTTTGCATCTCTGATATGCAGTATAATGTGTTTTCAGTTCCTGGACTTCCGCTGCGGCCGCTGTGCCGTGGTGTCCAGTTCCGGGCAGATGCTGGGCGGTGCACGGGGTCAGGAGATCGACGGACAGGACTGTGTGATCCGGATGAACGCGGCGCCCAGCGTCGGATACGAGGCTGATGTGGGGAACAGGACCAGTCTGCGTGTGGTCTCTCACACCAGCGTGCCACACCTGGTACGGCAGCAGGGCTATTTCTTCGGGCGAGAGGCGGAAACTACATATGTCATTTGGGGCCCTGAGAAAAACATGAGGGAGGATGGAAAGGGGAAAATCTTCAATGCACTAGAGACGCTGGCCAAGAAGTATCCACAATCACATATCTACACCGTCACCAGAGAAAAGGTCCAGTACTGCGACAGCGTCTTTCAAAACGAGACGGGCAAAAACAGGTTAGTCTTCCTCTATTCTATCATCTTTTTTATGTAAAAAAAGCAATTGTAAATGTAGTAAATGGATTGCTTTATCTCTGGCAGGATGAAATCGGGGGCGTTTCTCAGTACAGGGTTTTTTACCATGATTTTGGCTCTGGAGGTGTGTGACAGTATTCTGGTTTATGGAATGATTGACGGCTCTTACTGCAGGTGAGTTCAGTTGGTTGAGTTTAGTTTGTTAAGAAAAAACGTAATAAAATTAAGTCATTTTTGCTTTTCCATAAATTATGGATATGACATTCTATATGTGACCCTGGACCACAAAACCAGTCACAATTTTTTTAAAATTAAGATTTATACATCCCATGAAAGCTGAATAAATAAGCTTTCCATTGACGTATGGTTTGTTAGGATCGGACAATATTTGGCTGAGATACAACTATTTGAAAATCTGGAATCTGAGGGAGCAAAAAAATCTAAATATTGAGAAAATCACCTTTAAAGTTGTCCAAATGAAGTTCTTAGCAATGCATATTACTAATCAAAAATTAAGTTTTGATA